GTGCCCTGCCCGCCCGCCCGTCTGTCTGTCCGCCCCGCTCCGCCAGCCTCCTGCTCGCCCTTCCCGCTGTCTCCGCAGGCTGGCAGCTTCTCTCTTTTCTTTTCTTTTCTTTTCTTTTCTTTTCTTTTCTTTTCTTTTCTTTTCTTTTCTTTTCTTTTCTTTTCTTTTCTTTTCAGTGTTACATTCCCCCCTGTTTTGTTATAAGAGGGAATCTTTAGGACCTTAAAAATGCAGGATTGTTTCTCTTCTTGTGTCTCTTCGACCTCTCTCTGTCTTCCTCCTGTCCCACACTTGTCTGTTTATCCTGTCCATCCTTCATTTATCTATCTATCTATCTATCTATCTATCTATCTATCTATCTATCTATCTATCTATCTATCTATCTATCTATCTCCTGTCCCACACTTGTCTATCTATCTATCTATCTATCTATCTATCTATCTATCTATCTATCTATCTATCTATCTATCTATCTATCTATCTATCTATCTATCTATCTATCTATCTATCTATCTATCTATCTATCTATCTATCTATCTATCTATCTATCTATCTATCTATCTATCTATCTATCTATCTATCTATCTATCTATCTATCTATCTATCTATCTATCTATCTATCTATCTATCTATCTATCTATCTATCTATCTATCTATCTATCTATCTATCTATCTATCTATCTATCTATCTATCTATCTATCTATCTATCTATCTATCTATCTATCTATCTATCTATCTATCTATCTATCTATCTATCTATCTATCTATCTATCTATCTATCTATCTATCTATCTATCTATCTATCTATCTATCTATCTATCTATCTATCTATCTATCTATCTATCTATCTATCTATCTATCTATCTATCTATCTATCTATCTATCTATCTATCTATCTATCTATCTATCTATCTATCTATCTATCTATCTATCTATCTATCTATCTATCTATCTATCTATCTATCTATCTATCTATCTATCTATCTATCTATCTATCTATCTATCTATCTATCTATCTATCTATCTATCTATCTATCTATCTATCTATCTATCTATCTATCTATCTATCTATCTATCTATCTATCTATCTATCTATCTATCTATCTATCTATCTATCTATCTATCTATCTATCTATCTATCTATCTATCTATCTCTCCCTCCGTCCCTCTCTCTCTTGCTCTTTCTCTCTAATGACTTTATAAAAGTCAGAGAAAGAGAGAGAGGGATGGAGGGACAGCTTCCAGCTGCCGAAGTTTGCAAGGGCCGAGGTTGTCTGGAAAAGAAACCTTTCTTCTATCTGGAGAGGTAATATTTGTGCTTGCATACTTCTTTGGTGGCAGAATGTATTTGTGTGTAATTTTGCAAAGCTAAACATCTAGTCTAGCCCTTGGAGCAAGGGTAATATATACAATTAGATATTGCATACATTAAAATCATATTTAAATGTACTATTTTAAATGCAAAGATATAAATGTAAGCAATGCAACATTTTTCTAATGGATTTTTGTTTCTTTGAAGACAATTTCTTAGCTTTATGCAACTGGGCAAGATGTGTGCAACCCTATAAATAATCATGACAGTGGGATGAAATTGCTTCAGAATATGCATTATATGCAGTGTATGCATATCTACATGCACTGTGTGATGCAATTATATAATGAAATGCAATTGAGTTTGCTCTCATTCAGTACAAATTAATAGTAGTTCAGCATATGTGTGCTAGAGATAGCATCTGGAGAAACCTGTCCCAGAGGTAGTGGTTATCAGGTTGCCTCCTGTCTTAAAAGACTTGCAGGAAAGCACATATACATGTATTACAGTTCTATCACCTTGCTTGACAGACCACTGTAATGATATTTATATACATGTAAATGTATGTACATTGTGTGTCTGTATAGCTATGTACATCCTCCCACATGCATACATCTGTCCTCAGCTGGGGTAAAATGGCACTGCTCCATCCATGTCAAACTCCCTTTGATGTCAGAGCTATGCTGATTTATACCAGCTGGCCTATGATATCTAATAGCGCTTCTTCAAGTGGCCATGGCACAGGGGCCCATGGGACGTCCCACGAAATGTGCAGTGTCCATGTGGAAGAACTCTAGCCACGTGGGAACCCCCTTCATGAAGCACACGTGTGTTTTCTTCCTCAGTTTCCCCCCTGACTTTCCTTTTGCCCCTTGTTTGCAGTGGGTTTTTTGGAGAGCCAGACGCCTTCTCAATGTACAACAACAACAGAATGAAAAGAAGATCATCTCCTTATGAAGTGGAAATCAGTGATGGTGAGAACCTTTTCCTTCTTCCCCTCGTGGCATGTAGAAAGTGCAAAGGGATGTAGCCGGTGCTTAATGTCCACCTCCCTCCCACACACACCCCCGCCTCCGGACACAAGAAGATTGTTTAGACCAACCGGTGTTGTGGTGAAAAACAAAGCAATTAAAGCTTGAGAGAGAGGATGACACGACTCCTTCTGTCTGATAGTTTCCCCTTGCCCTGGTCTTGGCTCCTGGATAATGAAGCCAGTATTGTCGGCGCCATCTGGTAACCAGTTTGATGACGGATGACTTAATAATATTGCCCCAGTTCAGCAATGCACTGGAGCAGGTGTTTCATCCCATCCCTGTTTTGCAAACCCCTTGTTTAAAGCTACTTTTACACCACAGAGCTCAGGCTGGCTTGGCCCCCTAGTGTAGATACACACACAAGACAGAAGTTTTACTGTCAGCGCAGGAACATCCCCTTTGTGAACAATGTTAGCTGTGCTGGCAATTGTGGTCATCTGTCCCATAGCTGCATTTACACTGGGGATTTTGTCAGCATAGCTCATTTGACTAGGGACTGCGTTTTTTCTCACTCCCGCCCCCCACTCCTAACTGACACAGCTTTAAGTGTAGACCAGGCCTAAGACTCATTGTGGCATGAGAGACTTACATGCATGCTTGAGTGCTTTGCTGAACTGGGCCCAGTGTTGTTCTGATAGGAATTCAAAAGACACTTCAGCAAATCATCATATAGAGACTTGACTTGTGCTAGAAGCTCTCAGGCAGAATTTCCCTTTGAAATTGACCAGCTCTGCTCCCAAACAGATGGCCCAGAGTTAATAATAATAATGATCATAATAATTAATACTAAATTAATACTAAAATAAACAATAAATTAAAAAATATTTCAAAGTACAGAAGGAATTAAAGTGCATGGGATAATATCTGACCACCTACCCCTGCACAGTCCTGTTGCTTTCAGTGGAAATGCCTGTGTGAGTAAACACTACATAGGAACAGGTTTCCAGATAGAAGTCCTTAGTTTTTAAGTCAAAGCCTAAAACTCTCCACTCATATCCAGTGACAGATGTCTATATCAATAACATGATAAAAAGAGAATACATTTTAATTATAAAACTTTGACGTCCACAAAAGCCAGAAAACTCAGTTACTTTCATTTGTCTTTCTTTTTAGCTGACTTATTTCTCTAATCTATCCAAATAAAACCCCAGCCCCCCACATTTCAAAAGAAAGTGATGATGCGAACACAATGCTTGCAAAACATCACTCCAGTCTCACTGCATTTATGTTATGTCCTTTCCCTCCATCCTCTGTTTGTTCATTTATATTATAAACTGTTTGGGGGGCAGGGACTGTCTCTCACCATGTGTCTGCACAACAGCTAGCCCAATGAGGTCTTTATCTTGGTTTGGGACTTTAGGTGCTACCATAATATAATCATAGTTAAGGCTGAAAAATTAAAACACAAGTGTTTGTCCATATTAGAGAGTCTGAGCAAGAGTAATAACTAGAGCCCTGTACAGATACAAAATTTGTATCCACACCCTCAAAAATCAGCTGTGGATATCCACATTAACATCTGTGGATTTGCAGGGCTCTGGATACAAAATATGTATCTGCATTCACATCCATATCCCCCAAAATGAGCTGCAGATCATAGAACCATAGAACACTAGAACTGGAAAGGACCTCAAGAGCTCGTCAAGTCCAGCCCCCTGCCCTCACAGCAGGACTAAGCACCATCTAGATCATCCCTGAGAGATGTTTATCTAACCTGGTCCTAAATATCTCCAGTGATGGAGATTCTACAACCCCCCTAGGCAATTTATGATTGTGCATCTCCCACTGATGCCAATGCTTGTGATGTGCAACTAGATCTGGATCATTAGTAGTGATTTTATGAACATGGACTGCAGCAGATACAAGAAAGTAGAATGTCTTCACAACTGTTATGGTTTGTTTGTCCAGGAATATTTCATATCTGACAAGATGTGGAGCATGGGGCATTTGGGGAAAAAAACAGAAAGAGGCATTTAACTAGGAGAGCTCTTTGGGGGACAGAATGGTAAAATTCACCTGAACTGCCCTAAGTAGGGGAAGTGTAGGTTCGCTAATTTCAGTTTCAGTGGGGTAGCCATGTTAGTCTGAATCATGCATCTGATGAAGTGGGTCTTTGCCCACGAAAGCTTATGCTCCAACACTTCAGTTAGTCTATAAGGTGCCACAGGACTCCTCGCCGCTAATTTCAGTTTGGGGATCAAATGTCATCGCTTAAACTTTGCATGCTTATTTCAACCTATGATCAAACCAGAATAAGCAGGTGGAGTATTGGTATTCACAGGAGCAGAGAACAGACCGTGCATAAGTGGGAAATGGAAATGATGACCTCACAGTGGCCATTTTTAGGTCTTCCAGTTCTTTTAGTCTACATCTACACTGCATGGCTATTTTGAGATACCGGAGGTATCCCGAAATAGCTACCCCACTTCTATACAAGCCACCCATTATTTCAAAATATTTTTTGAAATAAGGGGCACACTATTCACCATCCCGGTGAACCTCGTTGCATGAGGGATAAGAGAAATAGTGCGTTATATTGAAATTTGGCGCTGTGTAGATGTGCCAAATTTCAAAATAAGCTATTTCAAAATAGAGTCTAAATAAGATATGCAATTTGCATGGCGCAAATTGTGTATCTTATTTCGAGTTTAGGGTGCTATGTAGATGCACCCTTAGTGGTTTAACCTATCTTAGAAGAAACTGACCACCAGCCACTGATCCAGAAATGTGTCTGAAGATTCTAAGGAAACAATACATATCACAAACAGAGTCTCCGTAGTGCCTAGTGTCATGTGGCCAGATTCCTCACTGGCTCCAGACTCCTTTTCTCAGTTTATTGGACCAGGAGTAACAAGCCACCTGCCTTGATGGCTTTCTTACTACCTTCATGTTCACCCCTGCAGGACTTAGCCTTTACCTACACAAGCTGAGCTGCATCAGAGAGAACAGGTGGGCAGCCCAAAAAGTTACTTCAGTCAACCTCCCACCCCTTTTTTTTTCTTCCGTGCAAATATGCTGTCAGTGTTAATTTTTTTGGATTGCTCTCCAAACTAGCCACTAAATAAATAAATAAATGAAGTCCACAAAAAGTTTTGAAAAAAGTGTGCAAAAAAACCCCCAAATCTGTTTGGGGTTTTGATTTTTTTTTTTTACCAGTTCTCCTTTGAATTTTTATTACGTTCCACAAATTCTGTAGCAGAGCCTATTCCATCATCTGGATTAATTACTGGCCAAATTTCATTGAGAAGAATGTTTCTGGTTCTTACAACCCATCCACAAAGTGTGCTGCGTTATCCAGCACTTCAAATCTTTAAATCTAGAGAGGGTGCTTTATAAAAGAGATGCTACAATCCAACCATAGTTCCTGGGTTCGATGCAGGAATCAGGAGACAAAATTCTGCACCTGCATTGTGACAATTGTGACATTGTGTCAATGAAGGAATCGGGGTGAAATTCCACAGTGTTGTGCCAGATGTTCTCTTAGATGATCATAGTGTTTCTAAAACTCTCTGAATGAATTCCATAGGGGGACTCCAGCCCTCCAGGGAACTCAGTGGGCATTATGTGCATGCAAGATTGGATTCTTAGTATTTTACATTTTTTTAGGCTAATGATCTCTAATATTTTGCCACTCAAATTCAAAAGAAGCAAAAGAGATTTTGTAAAATTAATCAAATCCCTTTCTGTGTTAGAATCTGATTTCCATGGCTTTTGATTGTTTGGTTTGTTTTTTTAAGTGCAGAGAACTATGTTTGGGTCTTTGGAATTAGGATTTATAGCAGGAGCACTGAGGGGATGTCTACATGGCATTGTAAGCCCGGGTCTGTGGGACCTGCACTTGTGGATTTGGTGTTTCCAAGCCCTGGCTTAGGGAGTCCACTCTGCATGGTAAAACTGGCTTTACAATTGCTGGACCTGGGTGTCACAGCTGGGCTAGTGCACTGTGTCCACTCTGAAAAATGAAAGGGCTTGGATCTAAGTCACTGCAGGACTCAAGCTCTGACCCAGCCCCTTAACAAGGTCTTAAGACCCAGCTCCTGAGTCAGCCTGATTTGCATGAGGATGGAAGGGGGACTCGGGTTTAAACTAAACATCCACATTCTCTGGGAGATCTTTAATTATAGTGTAAATAGCTCTCCTAGTGCTATTGTTTGTGCCTGGATGCTCCATCTACCTCTAGGGGGCTTTGGGTCAGGGTTCTGCGCACACCCAGAGTAAGAAACAGCCCCTGTCCTTAAGCTCTTACAAGTGCTGTCAGATGCTCCATCATGGGCAGTTGGTGAAGGTAGGGCTGGGGGAGTCAAGGAGTCAAGCCGTCCACCCCTAACACCACGGGGGGTGGAGGGAGGGCAGCATGCTGCCCCAGGCCTGCTCCCCCCCAGCAGCATGGGGAGGGAGGAAGGCACTCGGGGGTAGCCACCCTCCACCCCCAGTATGCCTACAGCAGATGTTCTGGGGGTGGAGAATGGATGGGGCCAGGTTGGTGGTTGCCTTCCCCCGCCTATGATACCTGCTGCCCCTGTGCTCAGCTATGATGTGTTTTGTGAGTGCAAGGGGAGGGGCTCATGGTTTAGGCACGAGACCGCGTTTGGGGAAATGGGGGTTCAATTCCTGGCCCTGCCACCAACTCCCATCGTGACCTTGGGCAAGTCACTTTGATCTCTTGGAGCCTCTTGTTCCCCACTTGTAAAATGGGTCTTCTTACCTTACAGAAGGATAAATTCATTCATGCTTGGGAAATGCTTAGGTGCTCCGGGGATGGGGGCCAGAGAAGTGCCTGGATCGCTAGATTCTCCTAAGCCACAAAAACTGAAAGGTGTAGAATTAAGCATTTTACATAATCCTGGTGATTCTCGCTCTCATGCACAGGGTTGAACTGATCACCAGATTTGGGGTCAGGAAGGACAATTTCCCCCCACGGCGCATTGGCAGACATGGCTTTTTCGCCTTCCTCTGGAGCATTGAGCAGGGATCATCTGTTAGGATCAGGTGGGCGTATCCCACACGATCAATTTCCTGCATATGCAGGAGAGGGGGGGAAGTGGGGGTGGATGATGGTGGACCTCAGTCCTTCCTATTTTCTATGTCTTGCTGTTGTTGCTCCTGTTGTTATTTTGGGTGGATTTCTTTGTAGCGGTGGGGAGGGGAAATGGATAATTGTGCATTGGAACTATACAGCTCCTGGCGATGTGACTGAAATGTCCTCGCACACCATGTTGGTTTATACCTGGCTGATCTGGTTTGGAGAGGCCAGTAGCTTGAATCTGTGACAGCAATTGCTAAGCCAATGGAATGGATTTTTCGCACAGCACATCACCAGTGTTTTCTTTTCCCCAGCCAGCATTTCATTCCCTAGTGTTTGGGATTTTTGCCTTCTCTGATCTCGAGAGTGGATTTATCAGGAGGCAGCTGCATTTTACTAACGTGTTGCAACAATATTAAAAGTGAGCTTCAGAGCACACGGTCTCTTATCCATTGGCTATAATTGAATTCCTCACCCACGGGGTCCAGGAGTAATTTAACAATCAAAACATGAGCACTCGCAGTGCTGTGGGGGCATTCCTAGACCTGAAGCATCCCACCATCGTCCCGTCCATATAGGCGAACCAAGTTAAATGGGGCGCCAAACGGTGATGCAATATCATTGAGGGGTTTGGAGGTGGGGGCGCCAATTGCGTGGTTCGCCTAGGGTGCCAGTTGCTGGCAGCTAGTCTAGGGCCACCCGGATGGGACTCACCGGGCAGTCTAAACAACTGACCATAGGCAGGCGCAAACAGGCCATAGAATCATAGGGCTGGAAGAGTCTTCAGGAGGTCATCAAGTCCTGTTCCTGCCCAAGGCAGGACCTATCCCAACTAAATTAACCCAGCCAGGGCGTTGCAAGCTGAGACTTAAAAACCTCTAGGCATGGAGATTCCATCACCTCCCTAACTAACCCATCCCAGTGCTTCCCCACCCTTCTAATGAAATCATTTTTCCTAATATCCAATCTAGATCTCCCCCACTGCAACTTGAGACCATTGCTCCTTGTTCTGCCATCTGTCACTACTGTGAACAGCCTCTCTCCATCCTCTTTGGAACCTCCCTTCAGGAAGCTGAAGGCTGCTCTCAAATCCCCCCTCGCTCTTCTCTTCTGCAGACTAAACAATCCCAAATCCCTCAGTCTTTCCTCATAGGTCATGAGCTCCAGCCCCCTAACAATTTTGGTTGCCCTCCAAAGATCAGTGACGTATTCCTCACCATGATACCACAGTCAGACACGGGGTTTCAGAAACTAAGGGAGCGTCTACACTGCACCGTTATTTCGAGATGACTAGCGTTATTTTGAAATAGTGCGAGCGTCTACACAGCTGTTCCGTTATGTCGAAATAATTTCGAAATAATGCACGGCTTATTCCAAAATCTGTAACCCTCATTCTGCGAGGAACAATGCCTATTCCAAAATAGCTATTTCGAAATAAGGCATGTGGAGATGCTCCACTGCTGCTATTTGGAAATAGCTCCTCCCCAGGGCCATTCTAAAGTATTCCTCCCCATTGCCTCCTGGGGCTCTAAATTGAGATAGCACGTTTACATTAGAGGAGCCTGCCATGGATTAATTTTGAGGCTTCCCTGCAGTATAGACGTGCTATTTCGGAATAACTATTCTGGAATAGCTGATTTCGAAATAAGCGTGCTGTGTAGACGTACCCTAAGCGAGCAGCATGTGATCGTGTGCTGCCCGAGGTCATGTGATCTATCACGCCCATAGAGGCTCTACTTGCATTTGTCTGGTGTGGTGCTTTTCCAGGCATTGGCTCATGCACACTGTCGTCTTTAGAGTGGGTTTTGCCATGAGCAACCCTTTCCTTAGGCTCAGGAAGTCTTTTCTAGGCCCCATTCGACGACAATTATGTGACGTCTAGTGAGGAGGCCCAGAAGCAAAATGTTCAGTAATAATAATAATCCACTATTTGAGTACTCGTTGGATCAATTTTGCACTGTCCAATAGCTGGAACGAGCACTCACCTGTACGTGCTTGCGCTGGACCAGGGAAATGGGACACTGAGATTGTGTGCAAATCTGGATCTTATGTATGGCAGCCCCCTGGGGATAATATTTTCCCCTCTGTGCATGCAACCCCCCACCTATGTGATCACACATGGAAAGGACAACACATGGGCTACCTATCTGGTTTTCCTGGAGGTTACCCATTTTACACTGACACATTCATTCTAAAACTGGCCTGGGGTACAACTCTAGCAATTTTAAATGGCATTTGTGGCTTGCCAGGCTAAGGGAACACCAGTATATTGTCGTTACCCCTCCCAGAAATGTACATGCAAAGAGAACCAGGATGCTGGTAACTACAAGACAGGAAAAGCATGATCAACGTCACGGCAAAAGTCTCTCCAGCAGCTCTGCCAATGTGCCACAAAGCTGGTCCGAGCAGACAGCTTCTAAAATGGATAGGGCAGTAGTTCCAGGATCATTTGATTCCTGCTCTCCATTCAGCATTCTGAGGGCACTCGTGTGTTTGATTGTTTGGGGTGGTGTTTTTTTTTAAAGGGGGCGGAGGGCTGGTTTTGTACAATGGCTTCCTGTTCCCAAGGAACGGTGTTGAATTCGAGTCACTCATTTCACATAGGTCATCAAATGGACACGCAACAACATCAAGCTCCCAGGGCCACCTTTATTCATGCACAGAATACACAGCAGTTTAGGGCACTTGAAAATTTGGGGCACCTCTGGGTCTTAATGCCCATCACCCACCCGCCTCTTCCTATCCCTATTCTGTGGCTCTGCTTCCTTCCGACAGGCTCTCGTTAACTTAAAAGGGAAAAAGCCTGACAGAGCTATTAGCAGCACACCGGCCCTGTGAAAGAGTCATTCAAGTGGCAATGAAACCATTGCCAACCCCAGGACAAGGCTGTCAGTTTCTGAATTTACTATGTCAGGCAACAGGACCTTAGTTTAAAATTTGCTTTAAAAATGTTTCATTCGCGTGTTGCTGAAGATTATACAATCACACCTCTAAAAAAATCATCGTCCTCTCCCTCCCCCAGACTTTTGTCAGGCATGGGGCACCTGTTTAATGATACTGTGTAGGACACCAGAAATCCTAAAGGCAGCCCTGCAGACTTTCTACCAGCTTTGGGTTCCTACCAATACATGGTTTAGCAAGCGTCTGCATCCTGACCATACAGCCACCAAAACCTCTACTTTCTCCTGTTGTCTCTTGTCATATCTGTTTTTACCACTGTTAAGATAAGTGTAAAATATAAGACAGCTGCATGAGCTAACTTTTTACAAGTTCCTTATCAGTGGGGATGTGATGAAATCACAGCGCCTGCTAATCTCATATATGGCTCAAGCTTTCAAACTGAGCTCACCAAACTTAGACATTGAAATCCCTAATTAAGCTCCTAAATAGAAATGACTTGATTTTCAGCTCCCGTTGGCTTGAACAGAAGTTCTGGCAACTCTAAAAGCCAGACCACTTCTGGTGAGATGCAGGAGGCCTAAAGTCAGTCAGTCCCATTGGGAAATGTTGATCCTTAAGTGAAATAATAAACAATGTAATGCTGCTTCTAAGCATGCACTATTGTAATTTCAGGTCCCCATACAAAAGTGGTCCGCCGCATTTTTACCAACAGCCGGGAAAGATGGAGGCAACAGAATGTCAACGGGGCATTCGCAGAGCTTCGTAAGCTCATCCCGACTCACCCACCCGACAAAAAACTGAGCAAGAATGAAATTTTACGGCTGGCTATGAAATACATCAACTTCCTGGCCAAACTGCTGAATGACCAGGAGGAGGAAGGAAACCAAAGGGGCAAAGTGAACAAAGACACTGCGATAGTCCAAGAAGATCTCCTGCAGGACATGTTGTCTCCAAACTCTAGCTGCGGAAGCTCTTTAGATGGAGCAGGGAGCCCGGACAGTTTCACAGAAGAACACGAAACGTTAGATTCAAAGCATACGAGGAATCTCCATCACTCCATCCTTCCTGTAGAAGGCAGTGGACAGCGATGACGACCTTACGGAGCCCTCCTAAAACACAGAGGGGAACGTAAACCCTACATATTTGGGTCTTGGAATTAAACCACCATATTTTCTCAACTCTACATCTCCAAAAAGAAAATGGAAACTTGAGCTCCTTAAGTTCTCACTCCAATATTTCTAAATGAACTCAAAAGACAGTGAGTTGATGAAGAACAAGACCAAATCAAGGAAACATTCAACATTTAGGTACTTGATCGGATGGAGACAAAAAGCTTTGGAAGTCATCTTAATGTACACATTGTTCATGGTGTAGTGCTGAGGGGAAACGGCTGACATGTTTTCAATCTCAAGTGATGTGATGATGATCTCTCTTTAAACTGAGTTGTCATGGATCAGAAACAGGCAGCAGCTCCCTCTTTCGCTGCCAATGGAAGCGACCTAACCCTTCCATTTGCGTGTAGGATTGGACGCTGCCCAAATCTCTACCGTTTCTTCAGCATCTCTCCAAACCGTTATGATGACGTATATGCAACTTGTTGGTGTGGAATCAATGGTCATGCCTTCTTGTTGTTCAAGAGCTTTTGACTGTACCTTTCTCAAGAGCTAAGAGAGGCCTCCTACTCATGAACATTGACAAGGAATGAGACTTTTTTTAAAAGAAAAAAAGAAACCCTTCACCAAACTTTGCATTCTTTGAGGTGTTCTGTTGATGACGTGGAATTACTTCTGTTTAATACCCTCATGCGGTGTCCACTGTAGGAAAAGGTACATAGATGTTTTCTTCTCTCTTCCCACCTGATTACTGGGCCATGGCTGAAGTCTTTGAGAATCTTGCCCTTTGCTTCGGTGGGGACATGGCATTATCCAAGGATTTCATATTTCAATATGTGGGAGCGGGAAATTTCCTTGAAATTGTCCTCCTGTTTTGTTTTTGGTTTTTTTTTAGTTAAAAACAAAGACCATGGTGGAATAACAAATTGTGTGTGTGCATCAGGGAAATAGCAGAGATTTAATTATGTGCTTTGAATTGTTTGGTTTTACCCATTTGGAAATTATGCTTATTTCATTTACCCCTATCTGTTCATTAGCTCCATCATTTGATATTGCCTCTTTGTCGACATAAGTCTTTCCCTGGAGCCTTGTCTATATAAGGATGGCTGTCTTTAGACCCATAGTTCTTAACCTGGGGGCAATTACCCCTCGAGGGGTAATGTGGCATATTTCAGGGGTAATACGTTTAAAATACAATAGGTGTTCAATTTTGTTCAACATAATGTATGAGATAACGAAATACAATACAAATGATTAATCGTAATTTTCTTTTTGTCTATTGCCATTTTAAAAAAGGAGGAGAGGTCAAGGAGGAGGGGGGAGGGATAGCTCAGTGGTTTGAGCATTGGCCTGCTAAACCCAGGGTTCTGAGTTCAATCCTTGCAGAGGCTATTTAAGGATTTGGGGCAAAAATTTGTCAGGGATGGTAATTGGTCCTGCTGTGAAGGCAGGGGACTGGACTTGATGACCTTTCAAGGTCCCTTCCAGTTCTAGGAGATAGGCAATCTCCAATTTTGGTTTATTGGTTAAGCTTAAGGGGTAACTGTGCCAAAGAGGTTAAGAACCACTGCTCTAGAGGCTCAGAAATAAAGCTTTTGATCCAGGCCCTGAAATTCACTGCTGTGGGTTTGTTTGTGGTGTGTAGATTTACACAGAGCTTGAGGGCTATTCGTGAGACATACCACAATTCCCAGGCATGCAGGCCTAATGTACGTTGGTGGCCATGTGCAACCGGATCACTCTAAAACAGAAATAATCCTCCATCTGCTGATGTCCATTGAAGGATCCTTTTTAAAAAGCAAGAGTAATTAAAAAATGTGGTCAGATTCTCAGCTATGGAAATTAGGGACATTCCATCGACTTCCGTACTATGCCTATTTACAGGCTGGGGCGCTAGATTCTGCATAGGCTATGAACAGTAGAAGCGAGACAAGGACTCTCTCTTTTTTCTACTTCCTGATGATTGGCAGGGCAATCAGACCAGACCAAACGATCTCATCCTTCGGTTGTTCGACAGAGCTTCAGAAAAATCCACCTTGAGCCAAAAAGCCCCTTTCTTTGTAAGAGAAAATAATTAGAATGAGTATTCTTTGTACACCCTGTCTCTTATTTATTATAGCTATCGAGGTACAAGGCAATGCAGATCCCGTCTGTGTGCACGCATTTAGAACCATTAGTTTACCGATTTGAAAGTCAGGTTCACTCTATTTTTATTTTAGGGTATTGTCACTTCTTTTTTTCATGCCATTTTAAGGATAATGGGTTGATACTATCTTGGAGGTAATAGGAGCGTGGCTAGGTTCTCTTGCTGCTGTATGCGGGTATATTGAGAGGATGTACCACTTTTCCATGAATTCCCCATTGATATTTTAGGGTGATCCAGGAAATGGTCTCAGATTTCACCCTTGTGCAGAGGGACAAAACATTGCACCAACCCCAGTTAAGTCCTTAAGTCCTCAGTGAAACTTACGTTATCTGGGTCAGTTTCACTTTCCGGCATTATCTAAAGGCCAGAGCTTGCTCATTGACTTCGGTGGGAGGAGGGGCAGCCGAAGCTCACGCCTCAGACACTGGGGGATGCTATTTGTAATGCTATCTGGGGGACTGCATAAACCAGCACCTGAGCCTGAGAGATGCAGAAGGTTTGCAGCTCCTGCAGGGGGCGCTCATCACTTCCTGAGAGATGCAGAAGGTTCACAGCTCCTGCAGGGGGCGCTCATCACTTTGCAAGATCAAGGGACCAGTAGTTTCTGGGGGAGGAGAGAGGGAAATTTTGTGACAAAAGATGAAGCATTATTTCTTTTTTTAAGGGATTGAAAAATAATATTTTATCTCTTTTGGGACAGATATTGCAAAGCAAGTCATTTAAAATGCTAGAAATCACCCTCCTTTTTATACCTGAAAGGAAGTCAAAATGGTACAACTTTTAACCCTTTTACAAAACCCATTTCTTTGTAGCTTCTTAGCAGAACATAAGTCTGTCTGGGGTATGTATAGTTGTACTTTAATTGTGATTTGAATGGTACATCTCCTGTTTCTCCGTCTCTTCTGCCTGCTCTATGTCTTGGTGTATATAACATTATCTCATTTCTGTTTGCAATCAGCACTTTTGGTCAGTGTCGTACTCTGTGATCAATTCTTTTCTCTATTCCATTTCCTTTGGTTTCTGCATTTTTCTGCAGAAGTTAAGTAACCAGACCTGGTACCCTTATTATCTTTGTAAAGCCAATTAGGCAACCCACTGTGGATGTGCTATTTAGAAAACACATTTGTTGTAATGTGTGTGTATATATAAATATATATATATAATGAATATATCGAGAATATTTCTAAATAAAGTTTTACAAATCAGCCTCTGTTCTTTTTTTTTTTTTTTAAGCGCTGGCAATTCAGTATTTTCTTCATTTTCATGAGCTGTTATTTGCAACCTGATGTTCGTGGCTGTTATATAACAGATGGCGGGAGTCCACTGCAGTCTCTTTAGCTCAAGCTATAGGTAGTTTGATCCTGCCATCCTCAAACATAAACACAGCTTTAAAAAAATAAAATGAGAAAAAAAATAGCAAGATTGACTTAAAAAATCACAAGAGCCTTTTAACAATAATAAAGTATGTTCCTCTTCGTTGCCTGTTCCAGCTTTTCTCTGAACCAGGAGGGCTAGGCATTTCGCTTATTTTCAAAAACAAAAGCTGAGAATCTCTTGCCACCTTTTGATTCCAAGAGCTGGGGATGTAAGAAAATCGCCAAACATTGTGAGATGCACAAAAGTTGGTAACGTGAAGAATCATGCTGTTAGTGGTGGTGGTCATCATGCTGTATTTAAATACAACAGACAAGACACTAATGGCGAGGACGGGCCTGAGCAGATTTGAGTTCAAATCCCACCTCTGTCATGTACCGCACCATACCTCAGTTTCCCCCACAGGGAATAACAATACTGCCTTTCTTTGTACTGATTCCAGCTTTGAGATCTGAGGATGAAAAGTGCTATATAAGAGACATTATTATTTTATCTCTAACTTCTCAGCCAACTCTGATGGTAAATAATTAGCCTCTCTTCACATGAGCAATGAAGGGGAGAAGTGCTACACCTAGAGAAATAATTAAATAAAAGGCAAAAGAAATAGGGATACAGAAATACACCTCTGTAATCCAGACTTCCCTCGTCTGGCAACATCCATGGTCTGGGGCGAAAGCACTTACAGGGAAAAGCCAGGCCCCTGCTCAACAACTCCTTCCCCGCCCTCCCAGAGCTTCCGGAGCACCTCAGCTAGCTCCTTTGCAGGGTTCAGAGAGGGAGGGGAAGGAACGAGCGGGGAGCTCAGTGGAAGAAGCAGGGTGGCTGCGGAGTCCTGGGGCCAAAGGCCAGGAGCAGAGCCCTGCAGCTGGCAGCCAGGGCCGGATTAAGGGGGGGGCTAGCCAGGCAGCTGCCCAGGGTGCCAACCTATGGGGGGTGCCTGATGGCAGCTGTAAGGGGTGCCGCACGCCCGGCTGTGCCCCTTAGATTTGCAATCAGGCGCCCTGCGCCCAGGGCGAAAGGCCCCGCGGTGCCCCTTAGAGCTGCCATCAGGCACTGCATGCCTGATTCCAGTTGTAAGGTGCGGGGGGCGGGGCCATGCATGTGCCATGCACCTGGGGGCGGAGCCACGCATGTGTCATGCGCCCGTTGCCTGGGGCGCAGGAATGGCTTGAACTGGCCCTGCTGGCAGCATCAGAGGGGCTGGCATTGGCCTCCCCTGGTCCATCAAATTCCCCGGTTCGGGACTTGTCAGGTCCTGAGGGTGCCAGACCAGAGAAGTTCAACATGTTATAGAAAGGGGGAAGGTGTAAAAGTCCCCCCCTTTCTAATATGCTCATTTCAAACATGTTCACTGCTGTCGAGAGCAAATTAGTGATATTGCTTAACTGCTAAGCCTTCCCAGGAAGGGAACTGCCTCCCCTCTTCGCGTCTGTCCTCACCTCTTCTTTCGGAAACAAATGGACATTCTGTTAACAATGAGGCAGGGGGGTGTTGCGATCCTGTACTGCAGCCTCTGGGGGCGTGAACGCCTCATGGGGACAACTAACCTGCCATTTACACAAAGTCAGCCTTCAGGAATGTTTTCATACCCGCGGAGGCTTAATTGCTTTTTAAAATATCTTCATATCGAGCAGTACGTTGAAAGGAATACTTTTTCAGTGGGGCAGCTGACAGCCCTTGATAGGAAGCACTTACAAAGTAAGCTCCATAGAGTTACTGAGTGTGTGTGTGTGTGTGTGTGTAAAACCAGCCGTACTGGGTCAGAGCAATGATCCGTCTAGCTCAATATCCTAGCCAGAGCCAGGTGCTTCCTAGGGTCTGAACAGAACTAGGCAATTTAGAGTGATCCACCTCCATCATCCAATCCCAGCTTCTGGCAGGTGGAGGTGTAAGGACACCTGGTGCGTGGAGTTATATCCCTGACCATCTTGGCATAGCCACTGATGGACCCCATCCTCCATGAACTTACCCATTTTTTTTGGTTTTCCCACCATCTTACGGCAAGGAGTTCCACAGGTGACAGTGCACTTGTGTGAAGAAATACTTCCTTTTGTTTTCCTTGCACAAGGCCATAAGAACGGTGATGCTGGTTCAGACCAAAGGCCCATCTAGCCCAGGGTCCTGTCTTCCGGCAGCGACCAATGCCAGGTGTCCCAGAAGGAATGAACAGAGCAGGGAATCATTCAATGGCCCCTCCCCATCGCCCATTTGCAGCTTCCCTATTTCTTGTGTTCTATGAAGAGATAGGCAACGCTTTCCCATTCTCGGCACCATTCACACTTCTATAGACCTTGAGCATATTCCTCTGATTTGTCTCTTTCCCAAACTGAATGGTGTCCGTCTTTCCTTGGATTGCAGCTGTTCCATGCCCCGAATCACTTTAGTTCTGTTTGCAGTACCGCTCATTTTCTAAGGGCTAGGATCCCCTGCATTATGTGGCAGAGTCTTGCAGTGACAGGGACTGGGCTAGCAATGTCTTTTCCACTTCTGATTTCTAGGATCCTCTAATCACTTGTTTGATAAAAATTGGCGTTTGTTTCTATTAACCATGTGCAGCAAATTAGCACATGCTTCCTTAATTTGTGTAGGGTTTCCAGAAAATTCATTGGAACCCCTCCTCGCCTTCCACACCTGATTTTAGTTTCTCTGGAAGAAATTCACAGCTTAGGAGCAAGAGGTCTCTAGACCTACGGCCCTGCAAATCCGTGGATATACCTGGGTACCTGCCTCTGCAGATGTGGATGCGGAGATCCATGGCTCATTGTTGC